TATTATTTAGAAAATATGCAGGTTTCCTTACGATGGTTTCCTCCTCCGCTGAATACGTGATAATTCGGCGCTGAAAATTTAAAATTTCATTGGTGCCGGCACCGGGAATCGAACTCAGGTTGAATATATAACTCGAGCATATTGATTTAAAGGCGAGCGCTCGGACACTGAGGTGTCACGGCTATAGAGGGTGCATGGGCACATGTGCAGCCCTACCCACAGCGGAGTTTGCGTCAGATGAAGCTTTAATAGTCTCGGGACTGAAAGCAAAAACATCAGTTAATACAAGATACAAGAAGGCTATAGAGGGGCCTCATGTTATGTGTTATTACTATTATTATTAATTTAAGGCATAATTTCATAATTAAAACTGAATTGATTGACAAACTGTAAAAAAGTAAGTACTTGTTTCTAATAAAATGTTAAACTAATTGTACTCGTGATTCATTTCATTTTTTTTTCTTTTGTGAAAAGTTGCCAAGCTAGCAGACGGTTCACCTGATGTTAAGTGAATACCGCCGCCCATGGACATCTGCTACACCCGAGGGTTGCAGATGTGTTGAAAACCTTTTGAAATTTGGGCTCCGGCCACCTCACTCACCAGACGAAACGCGAAAGTATTATACTTCCACTTTACGCCGGTCTTCTGTGAGGTGGTGGTGTACTTACCCTGACGAGCCTGCCCATTCGTGCAACAGCCGAGGCTGCTGCGTGGCCCTACCACCGTACAAAATAGTTCATAGTTTCGTATTATGTCGGTAAGATCGAAAAATATTGTTAATTTTTCACCACTAAGTAATTGTTATCTAAATGTAATTTCCAAAACACACGAGTTACAAAAAAAAACCCAGCAAAGCTCGGTCATCCAGGTACTATGGTATTAAACTTATCAATTATCAACTTATCATAGGTAATACTCCTATAACATCGGACAATGAAATTGCAAATAGCTTCGAAAATTATTTTTCAAAAATTGCAGTTAATGTCACATGCACATTAAAATCCTTTCCCATAGCTGCAATTAATGTATTGAAAAATAATGTTACCTATTCTCGATACACGTTTAAATTTAATCACGTAGATATCATAAAAGCCTTGAATTCTATTAATCTTAAAAGTACAGAGGATTTATGGGGCATGTCCATAAAATTAATGACCACAATAATGCCATATATTGCACCACATTTGGCTTACATATTTAACAACTGTATAGATTCTGCAATATTTCCAGATCTTATAAAATTTAGTAAAATAATCCCCGTCTTCAAAAGTGGAGATAAAAATAATCCAGGCAACTATAGACCTATTTCCATATTGCCATCTCTAAGTAAAATATTTGAAAAACTAATTTTAAATCAACTATTAGTACATTTTAATATGAACAGAATTTTTCACGATGAACAATATGGATTCACTAAAGGCAGATCGACAACCGATGCGGGTGTCGCACTTATCAAACATATCTATAACAACTGGGAAAGGTCACAAGATGCATTAGGTGTCTTTTGTGACCTTTCAAAAGCCTTCGACTGCGTAGATCACAAAACCCTTCTTTGCAAGCTAGATTATAATGGCATTCGGGACAGCGCCCTCAATCTCATTGCCTCTTACCTTAGTAATAGAAACTCTTCCTAGTGTAAGAAGGCAAAGTTTTAGTTTATTATTAAATAACGTATCCCTCAATCCTGTTGAGTCTGTAGTTTTCTTGGGGATTACAGTAGATTAAAAACTTCAGTGGAGTCCCCATCTATCATCTCTTGTGAGTAGGCTAAGCTCCGCCGTTTTTGCGATTAGGAAGGTTAGACAGCTAACAGACATCGACACTGCCAGACTTGTTTACTTTAGTTATTTTCAAAGCATCTTATCGTACGGCATTTTGTTGTGGGGTAGTGCATCTAATATAAATTCTATATTTATTCTTCAAAAAAGAGCTGTCCGAGCAATCTATAACATCGGAGCCCGGAATACACTCAGAGATATTTTTAAAGAGATTAATATACTCACTGTTGCGTCCCAATATATTTATTGTAATATGTATTTTGTACGTTAGACATAATCTTAATTGTTATCTAAAGAATAGTGACAGACATAAATTAAATACTAGAAATAAAGACAAATTAATTACAAAGTGTGCGCTTGTATAATAAAATCCCACAATCGGTATTAAGTCTGCCACTAGATGAATTTAAACGCAAAATTAAAAGCGAACTTATGGCTAAGGCGTATTATACCATTACAGAATATCTTGACGACGCCAATGTGTGGGGTTAATGCTGTTGATACTCACGTAGGCTAAAATGACATACTTGTTCTATTATATTGTAAACTAATCGTTTTAAAAAAGAGCAACTGTTGAGTTTCTTGCCGATTTCTTCTCAACAGAAACTGCTTTCCGAACCGGTGGTAACTTACGAACGTATTAATTTTTATGTCTATGTGAATAAATATATTTTTGATTTTGATTTTGATTTAAATGCCAAAAAAACTAAATGTATTCTTTTTACTCTTCCTAGTGTAAGAAGGCATAAAAAAAAAGAAGGCAAAGTTTTGGTTTATTATTAAATAACGTATCCTTTAATCCTGTTGAGTTCGCTGTTTTCTTAGGAATTATAGTAGATTCAAAGTTCCAGTGGATTCCACATCTATCATCTCTTGCGAGCAGGCTTAGTTCCGCTGTTTTTGCGATTAGGAAGGTTAGGCCGCTAACAGGCATCGACACTGCCAGACTTGTTGATGTCCGAGCAATCTATAACATCGGAGCCCGGAATTCACTCAAAGATCTTTTTAAAGAGATTAATGTACTCACTGTAGCTTCTCAATACATTTATTATAATATTTTGTATATTCGTCATAACCTTAATTATTACCTAAAGAATAGTGACAAATTAAACACTAGAAATAAGGACAAACTTACTACGCCATTGTGTCGTCTACAAAAAGTAAATAGGCCGCTCATGGGGAAAAGTGTGTGCATGTATAATAAAATCCCAGATTCGATATTAAGTCCGCCACTTGATCAATTTAAACGTAAACTTAAAAGTGAATTTATAACTAAGGCATAATGTCTAGCGGAATGTCTTGACGACGCCAATGTATGGGGTTAATACTGTTGATACTCACGTAGGCTAAAATAAGACTTACACCTGTCCTATTATATTGTAAACTAATCTTTTAAAAACCAACAACTTGTAAGACCAACTGTTGAGTTTCTTGCCGGTTTCTTCTCAACAGAACCTGCTTTCCGAACCGGTGGTAACTTACGAATGTATTAATTTTTATGTAATATTGTATTTCATAAGTACGCGCAAGCGTACGTGATCAACATACATAAATAGACACATAGACTATTTATGTATGTTCATAGCAGTAGTACACGACATAGCCTCAAAAACTTCACACCAAAATATGTTTAATTCCAGACTTCCTTTAATGACGAATTCTATGTATAAGATATTCAGAACTTTAATTTCTATCCTTTTACATAATTTTCGGCTGAAGACACAAAAAAAATTGTTCAACAAAAAGTATGGGAGTTGCCATTGCCCTTTAACACGTATGAAAGTGTCACAGAATAACTCGAATAGATTAAAATATAAATACTATGTATATATGTATATATATACATAGGCGTGATCGGGATTATCGTTTCCAAATAAAAAAAAAAAAAGGGGCAAACGAGCAGGAGGCTACATGTATGTATATCCCTCTTAAAAATGTTTTTACGATTAGTAGTCAAGTTTTTAGGAAAAAATTTAAATGAAGAATTCATCATAATCATCATCATTTCAGCCTGTTTGAGTCCACTGCTGAACATAGGCCTCCCCCACATTCTGCCACGAAGCACGATCCTGAGCCACCTGCATTCATAGATTACTCTGTTCGAAATGAAGAATTATCAATACTAGTGGTCGCCCAGTGGTCGAACTTTGATCATAATTAATTATACATAGTAGTGTGTGTAATGTTTTTTTTATTGATTTAATGTAGGTACTCCTACTTTTTTTTGCAATATTTAAAAAAAAATTAGCTTTCTGCCTTCCTTCTCTATATGTATAAATTATAAGTGTGGGAAATTTTATACTCCTCTGTTCGCGCAATTTTTAAGGGTTTTTGCTTCAGGTATTAAAATAGTTAAAACATCAATAACTTCTAAATTAATATTTTAAATTCAATTGCATTTGTTTTTCATACAGATATCGTGAGTAATGAACGACGTTCGCAAGTAGATAAATTGAACTAAGTACACAAAAAAGATTATGTAACTTCTAAAAAAATCGTATATAACCCTTTTTGTTTTTAGGGTTCCGTACCTAAAGGGTAAAACGGGACCCTATTACTAAGACTCCGCTGTCTGTCTGTCTGTCTGTCTATCTGTGCGTCTGTCACCAGGCTGTATCTCATGAACCGTGACAGTTGAAATTTTCACAGATGATGTATTTCTGCTGCCGCTAACAACAAATACAAAAAACAGAAGAGAGAAACACAAGAAAATATTTAAGTGGGGCTACCATACAACAGACATGCTTTTTTTTTGTATTGCCATTTTTATGGATAATGCTACGGAACCTTTCGTGCGCGAGTTCGACTCGCACTTGGCCGGTTTTTATTTTACGAAGCTAAAAAATATAATTTATGTCAACTGCCTCTGTTTACCGACAATGTGCATGTGTGCGTAGTAAGTTAGTTCTAATATAATCAAGAAGATAAATATAATCAAGCTTCGCTTAAACTATTATTGTCTCTGGTATCACGCTAAGAGCGTCTCACCTGAAATGTTGTTAACGTACTCATTGATAGCAACGCTAACAATATGCTATTTAGTTTATTACTATTTAACCAGAACATTTAACTACTGGAAAACAAGGAATGTCGCCGGGCCGAAACCGATTCCTCTATTCGGGAATATATTGGAGTCCTGTTTACGTAGCAAGAACTTGGGCGTGGTTTTCAAAGATGTCTACGAGCAGTTTCCCAACGAGAAAGTGGTAGGTGTGTTCAGAATGACCACTCCGTGCCTATTTCTCCGCGACCTGGACGTGATCAAGCAAGTTCTTATAAAAGACTTTGACCTTTTCTCTGACCGCGGGGTCTCCGTCAGCGATAAAGGTTTAAGCAATAACATATTCAACGCTGAGCCTGACAGGTGGCGTGTTTTAAGGAACCGTTTCACACCCATATTTTCCTCGGGCAAACTGAGAAACATGATACACTTACTAGATGAGTGCGGTGACAAATTTGTTGCCTACCTCAAAGAGCAAAGCTTGAATAAATGTGAGTATGATGTGCACCCACTCTTACAAAAGTATACCATGGCATCCATTGTGGCGTGCGCTTTTGGTTTGGAAATCGACACGTTTAGAGAAAAAATAGATGCCCTGGAGAAACTGGACGTAATCCTAACCACCCCGTCGTTCTTGGACGAATTGGACATGATGTTTCCGGGGGTATTGAAGAAGATGAACCTGGAATTATTTCCGGCGTTCCTAAACGAGTTCTTTAGACAGCTTGTTGCGACCGTTATAACACAGAGGAACGGCGTACCGTCAAACAGGAGGGACTTCATGGATTTGATTCTGGAGCTAAGACAGCAGGGTAAGATACATAGCTCAAAGAGGTATGATGATAGTGAACAAATAGGAGTCGAACTAACAGAAGATGTAATTGCCGCAATGGCTTTTGCATTCTACGCTGCTGGTTACGAAACCAGCGCGCGTACAATGACATACGTGTTATACGAGTTGGCGAAAAACCAGAACATTCAAAACAAACTAATAGCCGAAGTGGATGAAGTGCTAAAAAAATGCGGAGGGAAAGTGACATATGAAACACTCAACGATATGCATTATATGAAGAAGGTTTTAGACGAGACTCTACGCATGTATCCCGTAGTGGATCCTTTACAAAGGAGTGCACAAGCTGACTACAAAATACCAGGAACTGATGTCACGGTGAAAAAAGGTCAAATTGTACTAGTATCAATCCTGAGCATCCAACGCGATGCAAAGTACTACCCCAATCCAGAGAAATTTGATCCCGAAAGATTTTCCACAGAAAACGCAAATAGTAGACACACTTGCGCTTATTTGCCCTTTGGGTGTGGACCGAGAAACTGCATTGGTAAGTTTTGTGTTTGTTTTGTGTAATGAATATTTCTGACCTTTTTTTCAATCAGTGAAACGTGCTGACACACACAAGTTTGAGGTAAATTCTGTAAAGATGACATGGCAATTCTTTTGACAGATATATTTGAAATATTTTTTGGTTACTGAAACCGCTTGCACACGCGGTCTTGAATTGAGTTGTTTAAGATGACAAGGCACTTTTATCTGTGTTGGAGCCAACAGTCTTCAGAATAATAAAGTATTCGATACGATATATTAAACACGAGTTGGTTTGTTTCGCAGGTATACGCTTTGCGCAAGTGCAGACCCGTATGTGTATAGCGAAGTTCCTGTCCAAATTCCGCGTAGAGCCATGCAGTAAGACACCTCCAACCATCACGTTTGTCGCCAAACGCATAATTCTTGGAGCCGATGAAATTTATCTCAACATTATCCCGAGAAGTGGTTAACTTATGCAAATCGTCGATTGTATTGTACGAAAAACGACCGCAAACGATTCGTTTATTTAACACAAAAATGCTTTCCTCAATTCTTCCTCAGGAGCTACTTTACCATTAGCTCCAGTTGCCCTCCCTCTAGCTCTGAAGAATGGGTATTAACTTGTTTTTTGTTGTAAATTTATAATGGAAATAAATCTTTGCTGCCTTAAATTGGTCTTTTATTTTTTTTTTTATCGAAACAAGAAATACGAAGCAGTCATTGCTTGATTATAAACAGAAAGTATTTTCCCCATAAAATATTTTTTGTCGTTCGTACAGTGACGATGTGTGGTAAATTTTTAATTTTAGAATAAAGTTTACGTTAATAGATTGTTTATGTGTATTTCGGAAACATTAATTCAAGTAAAGTAATGTGACTGCTACGTTGTTGACATTTAACAAAAATTTGCAGTGGGTTATCAGTCTACGGATTTAAAAATCGGGTAAGAGCAACTCGTAATTAGCCGGTACCCTAACGTTATCTGTGAAAACGGCAAAAAATCATGTCTGTTGTATGGGAGCCCCACTTAAATATTTTTTTATTCTGTTCTATTAGTATTTTTTGTTATAGGTGCAACAGAAATACCTATCCTAACCTTCGCGATTCCTGAGATACAGCCTGGTGACGGACGGACAGACAGACAGTCAGCGGAGTCTTAGTGATAGGCTCCCTTTTACCCTTTGGGTACGGAACACTAAAATGAGCGGTTCCTAGTAAGTGACACATTGGTCGAGGACAGTTAACGAGTGAATGATATTTTACAGGATGAACAGCCTGCAACACATTAAAGTAAATTTCATTTTTATTTTTATTTTAGTTTACAAAAGTATAACTGTGGTAGGGCCACGCAACAGTTTCCACTGTTGCGCGAATGGGCAGGTCCATCCGGGTAAGTACCACAACCTCACAGAAGATCTGCGTAAAGTACAAGTGTTACACTTCTGCGTTTCTACCTCACTTACCAGTCGAAACACAGAAGTGTAACACTTCTACTTTGTTTAACAGCTATTACCAAATAACCTGCGACGACGAGATCTTCGTCCATTCTCCCTACAGCAAAAACTGTGCAGATCAAAAATGTATATAAACTAGCGGCCCGCCCCAGCTTCGCAAGGGAATAACATGTTGTTTTGTAATTAAATCTGAAAATAGTCTTAGGAACTAAGATTTACATGATATCGCTGAGGCCTTTTCAGAACTCCGTACCCAAAGGGTAAAACGGGACCCTATTACTACGACTCCGCTGTCTGTCTGTCCGTCTGTCATCAGGCTGTATCTCATGGACCGTAATAGTTAGACAATTGAAATTTGATCTGGATGTTTATTACCCAAGGAGGGTTGACGTCAGGCACGCGGCTGGTTGTAAAAATGTAGCCAAAACCGCTAACAACATGATTCATGTTGTGCCAACCCCACCTTTTTTTTGTTAACCTGGGGGAAATGCCTACGCATACCCACCGTCGCGGGGGCAAGAGCGGGTTATGTCAGACTCGCACCGACTAAAACCCCCACGATGTTCCACCTAGGCGCATATAGGCAGGGCCACGAGAACGCTTTCGCTCACTTCCGCGACTCTGCTAGCGCTGGCCGCCTCAGCAGCCCCCTCCCGGAGAGCAACTTTCCTCTCCTGAAGGTAAGGCGCGCTGGAAGAACATTCAGCGCCCTTTCCTACTCGGCCACATTTTTACGACCAATGAACTCCGCCGAGTTCACTGACCAGGGCCATGGGAGCCAGGAAAGCCAGTGCTAATAAGCAGCAAGCCTCCCAGCCCCGAGCGGCGGACCTTGTCTGTTTCTTCAGCGCTTACCACGTTTCGGCCGCGGAGGGAATTTTGTTCCATAATTTCTATCGCGCCAAACGAAGTCATTTTAAAGAGGCTATTGTACTTCCGGATGTTGGTCAAAAATGTCCAGATGGTGAATGATTATTTGTCAAAAGATTTTTTATTGGCTGTGGCGGCTCCTCAATATTGGGGAGACTAACTTTCCCAGAAGCACAGCACATACCATTTGGTTCATTGGCTCATTTTTTGGCAGAACACTTCAAATCTTTTTCATGGCTCCGATTTGGACGGAATACTGTTGACTATAATGCATGAAAGCTGATCAGTTACTGTGAGCTAAAACTCGATTACGAACTGTAGTCGTTGACGTTTGTTGTCTTTTTCTCTGATCTTGTAGGCGTTGGGAACGCTTAGAGCTCGATTCCCTGGTGTGAGTTTATATATTTCTAATATTTTGCTCTTCAAGCCGCTGCAAACACTCTACTCGAACCCCAACAACAGCCCTCGCTTGGGAACTATTTCTAGAAATATGAGATCTTAATCTTTTGGGCATTTTAAAAAGATACTTGTACTTAATTACTTGCTAACTGTTGAACAGGAAATAGCAGTAAAATGTGATTAAAAAAATTGTAAGAACTACTAAGTCAGTCACTAAGCTGTTTGGATAGTTAAATTACAAAATACTAACATTTTTAAACTTGTGATATCTTTCGAATGGAATGTCTGAATTTAATAATTCAAAAAGTTATATAAAGATATTGAAACAGTCTTAAATATGAAGTAAATTATTTTATAAGGATTATCACTAAGATACAAATAAAGAGCCTTTTCTAGCGGCAGCATTTCAATCAAACTTTTAAAATAAAAAAAAAACACATATTGTGGCATAACTATAATAGTTAGACATATGCTATCGCGACACTTTTTGTTAATAATGATGTGTTCTGCAAAGTCATAGTACATTATTTTATTCTATCATCAATAGTTTTCGCAGCGCACGCGATGTAAAGTATGTTTTAGGTAATTTTTGTACACTTTTGGTTACATTATTGAAGTTTTAGTAAGGATCCCTATTTTTTTTTAAATATCATATAGATTTTAAATAAATAATAGATTTTAAATATCAACCGGGGATAATGTAGCTTCCTAACAGTGAAAGAATTTTTCATATCGGTTCAGTAGTTTCGGAGCCAATTCATTACATACAAACAATCAAATCTTTCCTCTTTATAATATAGAAGATTAATTGTTTTATATATATTTATGAAGAAAAAAAAAAAAAAAAAAAAAATAATAATAACAATAATAATAAAATTATATAAAATATGTGAACTCAATGCTGCACCGCTACCAGCCCGGTTGATGTACGCGGCGGTGACAGACCAAAAAGAAAATGTACAAAAAAAAAACATGTTAATCAAAAAAGAGTACGGACCACGAGTCTGTAGAGTTACTTTGTTAAAATAAAAAAAAATAAAAATAAAAAAAAAAACACTTCTACTTTGCGCCGGTCTTCTGTGAGGACGTGGTAATTACCCGGATGGACTTGCCCATTCGTGTAACAGTGAAAACCACAGTAAAATTTATTGTATAAATATGTGTACTTTAAAGTTGAATAAGGAGTACATGAAACAAGCCAAATTTCTCGTATTCGACATGTTTAATATACCTTTCTCAGCCAGATACGGTGATATATGATGATGCTTAGGCATGGAATAGCATGCATGCATATTGAACCCTTTGTGTAGCCTTTGAAGTTTTTTGGAAAAGACACGGACTCCCATCAGTCTTGCTGTTCAGTAACGACCTCAGGACAGAGGCGGAAAGTAAATGAGGGAAAAGTCTAAAATCTTTTCATCAGATAATACTTAAAAGAAAACACACGATGACACCTGTTCATCAGCACACAGCCACGCAAACACATGCAAAGTAAAAAAATAAGTTATATATTCAAACAATATAATTATTTGGAGTGTTTGTAGTTCTCTTTGTTCCGAATTCGTTCGCGATGATTAGAAATTAAAAAAAATCACGATACAATAATTAATTACTCATTTTTTTTTCACAAAATAGTCGTGCGCGACAGGACTGTCGATCTTATTTTTAACTTAATTTTATACAATATATTTATAAATAGGCAAGTCACTAAGTTACACAAATTCTAATTTGATGGAGAACAGGTGACAAATTGTAGTAAAAAAACATAGAGGTTATTGAAAAGCGTATGTTTTTGCAATAGTTAATTTGCACTTTGGTTATCGCGGCGTAGAATATACTTGGACTGATCTGTGTATATGCCAAATAGTCCGGTGACATTCATTGTATACCGAGGAGAGGTTACCATCAGGTGGGATGGCAGTCAAGTGCTGGCCAGTTCTAAATAAATTTAAAAAAAAAAGGAGAGAAGTAAATAAACTTTAATGACACAATGAAATTTGTCGGCTAAGTCGATCAATGATTCGGAACTCTGAGTTACTTTTACTTTATGAAAACGATTTATTTGTAATTAAATGAAGCAAATGTCTAAATATTAATTAATAACTTACGAGTTTCATTCTTCAATGAACAAAGTTTACTTTCATTTACACTTTTTTTGAAATTGCACTACATTTAAACACAAAAATTTCGAAAATTGGAATCGAAGTCTATATGTTTTTACTAAGTTATGTAATTAATAATCGATAAAATGGTTCACCATGTAACGATTAAAAGGTACGTCTATGTTTATCTTAAATTATGAATATTTTTTATACATTTTGTATTCGTACATTAAATCTGCGATGAACTTTCATTAAAGTGAGTTGTGGGAGATTGCCACAGGACAAGAATGTTGATTTGAGTAATGTTTCACATTAAGTTACAACATCAAACATTGGTCTATTTTTTAAAAGCGTTTAAAAATTTTAGATTTTATTTACGATGTTAAATTAGGCTTTTTAGGGAAACGTGATAACTCTACCGTCTTTCTTGTAAAGCAGATTTGATTCAGTGGATAGTAAATTTTGACAGTAATAAGTACTTAGAAAGTAATAAGTATTTTCCACTATAATAATTTCTCGAAAAATAATTTGTCTAACTTCTTGTGTGATAAATTTCGCACGGCACATATTGCAATGGGATATTTGTAGTCTTTACTTTAATTTAATGTGTGGCCGCTGAAACAAGATACAATTGTAACACATAAATAACGGGTTGATGGAGACAAAGCTTTCATTAGTAATTCTGAATATTTCAAATGGACAGAAAATACATTGAAATGGAGGTATATTGAAAATCTATTGAAATAGTGTTACGTATGTTAAACTTAAATCACTGCCAACTCGTGACACATTTTCCTATATCGCTGCAAAGGCTGCTTTATTTTCTACTTTTAATTAAGAACTATCCAATCTGTATCTCATGGATTTATGCTATCTATCAAATAAAGGGTTTATAAAATATGTGAAATGTTCCTTTTTGAGATCTCATATATGTATACATTTTAACGGTCAACGATCTCGGTATTAAATGAAATGATTTTATAAGGTTTTAATGGTTAAGGCACTTTAAGTAGAAAATTGAGGAAATTAACAATTAAAAATTTATAACATGTCTGTCTGTCTAGGTACCGTCTAACTCTATGATCGCATGTGGTCATTTTATCGTATTAATTTAATTTTGATTGCTTTTATTACTTATTTATTTTTATTTCCCTCATGTACATCCTATCCATCAACAATTCCTTTTGGTAAATATCGGAGGTTGCCTGGAAGAAATTGCTGTGTAGCAATATGGCCGTCTTTTGATGACCAATATTTGATAATATTTTGTTTTTTTTTTTTGTACTTTTTTATTTTTTGGTGTACAATAAAGTATATTATTATTATTAACAATAAGTACTAATTATTTATTTAACTAGTAAGTATAAATTATTTCTTTAACAACATAAGATACACAAAACACAGTGATCCTCGCACTAGGTAATATCTATATCTTAGTCTTAGATCTAGTGGCCTCAGTAAGAGATATTGACGCATTTTGACATAAGAAGAAATTAAATATTTATTTCGGTGTAACTAGTATTAACGACTCAAAAAAGTTGCATGTATTGATACTTGGAAATTCTGTTTCACCTGTGTGGTATTATAGATTAAATAAAAAAATGTAAACACTTTCTTTTAAAGACTTTTCAACGAATTTTAAGGCCTCTAAATCAAATTCAAAATTAAAGTGATACTATGATACTATCTCTTGTAGGTCAAGCATGTACCATGTTAAATTTGAAATCGTCTTGGAGGTGTAGAGATACATAGAAAACAGAAAAGAAACCTAAGAACCGATAGAACTCTGATAGAACTGATAGAAGTTTTTTATTTAGTAATAGTTTGTCCTAAGTGTATAAATGAACTTCATGTATGGATAACAAAAATCATACATGGAGTTTTTGAAAAAAACACGCAAACACAAACATACAAAACCAAAAACTTTTACTTATTTCAGTAGGTTACATATCTACGCCTGAATATCCAATTGCCTACATGTGTCTATGTCTGCGTCTAAGTACCTATATATATAAGCTAACATAAAAAAATCACTTGTCTTTAAATTCACACCTGCTTCTCTCTGGTAGTACCGTTAACATGTTCTTAACGTATATATTAATCGCTTTGTTATCAGTATGTTATTTATTGTACTGCTATTTCACCAGGACATTCAGTTATTGGAAAACAAGGAATATTCCCGGGCCAAAGCCGGTTCCACTTTTTGGCAACTTGCTAGAGTCCGCTCTCCGGAAGAAGAACATCGGGATTGTTTTTAAAGAGATCTACGACCAGTTTCCCAATGAGAAAGTGGTGGGTGTTTTTAGAATGACGACGCCGTGCCTTCTGCTCCGCGACCTGGACATCATTAAGCATGTCTTCATCAAAGATTTCGACTTTTTCTCCGACCGTGGAGTCTCCGTGAGCGATAAGGGCTTGGGCAACAACTTGTTCCATTCGGACAACGACAAATGGCAAGTGTTAAGGAAACGCTTTACACCGATATTCACCTCAGCTAAATTGAAGCATATGTTACCCCTGCTAGAAGAACTTGCTGATAAATTTATTACCCATCTCGAAGACGAGTGTATGAAGAAAAGCGAGTATGACGTGCATTTATTGTTTCAAAGGTATACGATGGCAACAATCTCGGCTTGCGCGTTCGGCTTAGAGATTGATACGTTAAGTGACAAAATGGACTTCTTCGTGAAATTGCACAATGTCATAACCACTCCTTCGTTGGTGGACGAGTTTGACATGATGTTTCCGGGAGTACTAAAAAAGTTAAACCTAGAGATATTCCCAAAGGAGATGTCGCAGTTTTTTAAGCAGCTTGTTTCAACTGTTATCGAACAGAGAAATGGTGTACCATCGAAGAGAAATGATCTAATGGATTTGATTCTGGAACTGAGACAGCAAGGCGAAGTGCACGGTACTAAGAGGAACGATGACAAATCACAAATAGTGGTTGAACTGACAGACGAAGTTATCGCTGCACAGGCAGTGGTATTTTACATAGGTGGATACGAAACCAGTGCTAGTACAATAGCCTTCATGTTATACGAGTTGGCGAAGAACCAAGATATTCAGAACAAAGTGATAGCTGAAGTGGACGAAGTGCTCAAGAAACACGAAGGCATGGTTACATTCGAGACACTCAATGATTTGCCTTACATGGAAAATGCTTTCACTGAAACCTTACGCCTGTATCCCATTGTGGAGCCTTTGCAGAGAAGGGCACAAATGGACTACAAATTGCCTGGCACTGACATCACCGTGAAGAAAGATCAGATTGTATTAATATCAGGTTTGGGAATTCATCGTGACGAGAAGTACTATCCTAACCCGGATAAATTTGATCCCGAAAGATTCAATGACGAAAACTCTTGTGGCAGGCACACCTGCGCTTACTTGCCATTTGGAGTTGGACCGAGAAACTGTATAGGTTAGTTGTGTATTCTTGGTATTTCGTACCTTTTTGATTAATGACTTGGTAAGACTTTCAATCGATCCTGCCTCGTAGCCAACTCCAACCTCCCAACGATCCAAGCTTGCCTGGGCAAGAAAGCTTGAGTGTCCGGTACTTGGGGGACTCTCCCTATGAACAATTCTCTGAATATTCCTTGTTTACGTGAATACTGCAAATTGCATTGCGTTACTACAAAACTACATTAACGAGTTTTCCCGGTTTAGTTCGTCCCACGAAAGATGGGATACTGTAAAACTTTCCATTGTAAAAATATCACTTCAAATTAATTAATGCACATGTAGTAACCGATACTTATAGACACTATGAATTCCAGGTATGCGTTTTGGAAAGATACAGTCTCGTATGAGTTTGGTGAAGTTCTTCGCCAAGTTTCGAGTGGAGCCGTCTAGTAAAACCTTACCTGCGGTGAGATATGTCCCCAAACGGTTTGTGCTCACCGCTGAAGGAGGATTTCATTTGAACATTGTTCCAAGGAAGCTTTAAATCCTCCTCTCTTCGGATATTAAGTGCCTTAATGGGAGGCTCTTGTTTTTCTGTTTTGTATGTATGTATATTATGTGTAATAAAGTTTATTAATTTGTTTAATAAAACTGAAGAGCCTGTTAATTGGGCTTTGTGTGGTCACATAAAACAAAGACAAAGTACCGTCCCAAACGCGGGTTTTGCCTCTCACTTTTTTATGGTACGGTATTTTTTTAGTTAAATTCTCATATTTGTTAGTTAGGGTGAGCAAAACATGCCCGTTCATGCAACAGACGAAGCTGATGCGTGGCCCTACCACAGAGCACCACCACTTATGTTCCGTTCATATTGATTAAATTTGAAACTATTTCAAATATAGAGTTTAGGTACGTGTAGGTATGCGTGTGCATTTTAACGGTGGTAGGGCCACGCAGCAGCCTCGGCTAATGCACGAATGGGCAGGCTCGTCCGAGGAAGTACCACGACCTCACTCAAGACCGGCGTAGAGTGGAAGTATAATACTTCCGCGTTTCGTCTGGTGAGTGAGGTAGCCGGAGCCCAATTTTCAAAAGGTTGTTAACGCCTCTGCAAACCCTCGGGTGTAGCAGATGTCCATGGGCGGTGGTATTCACTTAACATCAGGTGTACCACCTGCACCGAATTTTTTTTTTCTATTACGATAAATTTTATTTAAAAAAAAAACCTGAAAATCCGACCAAATGTTTGTACGTTATAAATTAGTATAATATACGCACGAAGTATACAGAATTAATATAAAACACGCAAGTTTGATCCATCTTCATTTTGACAGTTTTAAACAAACGTGTAACGCACCTACGTTATTAATTGGATGTAGGCATACAAAACATTGTTTAAACGAGATTCCTCAAAAGTAACGTAAAGCGGCTACTATATGTGTTTGGTATTGTCTGTGCACCGTACTTAAAGCAAAAACATTATTTAAAGTAAAGTCTACAACGTGGACTCTTTTTGTCTATAAGTTTATTCAATATAGAAGCATTATTTCTTATTCTTACTCATAGCACTACCAGCATCGGTTCTGATACGAAAATCAATGCCCTGGGAAGAACCGGCGAAAGAAATTCAGCTTTTTTTTACAATTATGTTTATTTTTACGACAACGTAATAAAGTATACTTGAAATAGCCTGGAGCGATCAATTCATTTCCAGGGTGTGTTATCATTTAAATAAATAAAAAACATTATAAAATGAAAATAAAATGAAAATAGTAACTAATATTATAAATAGCCTTTATTAACCTTTACAATTTCCTTTGACATTACCAATTGATACATTGTGAAAGTTCTCTGAAATTTTGTTGTAAAAACGTATACTTTGTCCCATAAAATAAATACTTATTCTGCGCAGTCTAGTTGATATCTAGTATATGGGAATGATGTATAGTAAAAAAAATAAGATGTTCTTATTAATATGCCACCTTTTAAAAAAACCACACACTACCTACAGATCAGTATCTGTATTAACTAGAATTACAATGTGCCTACATAAAAAAAACGACAACTTTCTTAACGTACGAAATTTAAATAGGAAAGTTTTTTTAGATGAATTGTTGATATATTAGCGTCGCTGTGGGATGCGATCAGAGGCGGATTAAATGTTGAGAGCGTTGTAGGCAAGCATCTCATTGGCGCCCCTATACTAAAGATGTAAGATACGACTGGCATGTTACCCCCATAATCATAAAATTCCCTATATATTTCAGGCGCTTTTATTAAAAAAAATCAAGTAACGAATTATTTATATATATTTGAAGCTTGGGAAAGTTCACAGGATGCTCTGGGTGTCTTTTGTGATCTTTCAAAGGCTTTTGATTGCGTCAATCATAAGACATTGATCAGGAAATTACACCATTATGACATTACAAGTACCGCGCTTGACCTTATTAAGTCATATTTATGTAATAGAATCCAAAAAGATGTAATAAATGGTGCAAGTTCTTCTGGCTCGATGATGTCAATGGGCGTTCCACAGGGCTCGATTTTTGGCCCATTTCTTTTTCTCATCTACATCAATCTACCTTACTTTGTAGGGAATAAACATGACAGAGTGTTATCTGCCAATGATACTTCATAAATTTTTAAAATCGATCGACATCTTGTTACTCTTGACGAGGTAAATAATGCTATGTCAGAAATAGTCCATTGGTTTAATGCTAACAATTTAACTATTAAATGGCAATAAAACTAAATGTAAAAAACTTTCAACACCTAATGTTAAACATTTGGGAGCTGCCAATGTTCTAATAAATGGGAAAGAGTTAGCCCTTATGGAAATGACTGTTTTTCTTGAAATTACTCTTGATGCAAAACTATGGGGTTTGGATATATGGGGCTCCCATATTTCGAACAATCCAAAGGGAATGGGAATTTTTTTGAATAAAAAGTTTGTTTTTATTTTAATAAACGTTTAAACTACCGAGCCTGAACCCCCTGTGTGAATTTGGGCACCTTTAGAAAAGCCAGGGTGGCTTTTCTAAAGGTGCCCAGGTGTATAGATGAAAATGTAATGTATGTACGTTGAAATATTAATAATTTTGATAAGAATATTGATGGTCATAATATAAATACTAGGAAAAAATACAAGCTTGTAACGCTAGTTGCCAGACTCCAGAGTAAGTAACTCGTTCATGGGGCGATGTATACGCTTCTACAACAAAATCCCAGCAAATGCGCAAAGGCTGCCTATCAACAAGTTTAAGAAATTTATTAAAGAAAAACATTATAAAAAGGGTTATTATAATATAAACGTATACATTCATGACAATAACCCCTGGGAAGGAGTTGATCGCTCCCAAGCCATTTCTAAAAAAATTTACAAAAAAGAGGATACCTACGGAGTTTCTTTCGCCTGTTTCTTCTCCGTTAGAGGAACTTCATTACGAAACGGTGGTAGATTAAAAAAATGACTAACGATAAATCCTTACTGATATTATAAAGGCGAAAGTTTGTATGTATGGATGGATGTTTATTACTCTTTCACGCAAATACTACTGAATGGATTTTAATGAATCTTTACAATAATATAGCTTACACATCAGAATAACACATCGGCTACAATTTTTATACATGTTTTTATGTACATCTGTCTTTCTGTCAGAATGTTACGCCTTCAGCCTCTTGTATCTTGTATCTTGTATTAACTGATGTTTTTGCTTTCAGTCCCGAGACTATTAAAGCTTCATCTGACGCAGAACCGGTGGGCTAGCCAGAACCCACGGGTTTGGGCCCTCCGCTGTGGGTAGGGCCACGCATGTGCTCATGCGTGCGTTTAACTATGGTGTGTCATCTAAGGGCCTTCGAGGTCGTGGTTCGGACCGAAACCTCGATGGCCGTCGACTGTGCAATTGGCTAATCGGTGGCTGGGGGCGGTGAGAACCGCCCCGGAACGCGGGTGTACCTTGTGTACGCGTTGTGTTGGTCTCGCCGTGCTCGGAGGCGAGGGCGAACTAGTGTGTTTGTTGTTGCACTAACTGTGGGTGTAGTGTTATCCGGCGGGACCCCCGGCAGTGGGTCCGGCGTGTCTAAGTCCCCTTCCTCGACCGGGTCGATTAGGACGTTTCGCGGGCGACGCTTGTTGACGTTCGCGTTTTTGTCGGGTTGGTAATTTGCTGCGCTTACCACCAGAGGGTTGGGATGATGTTCGGCTCTATCGAAGAACCGTTTGGTCAGGTCTTTAAAATATTCGTGAATCGTCGGGAGTCTGCAATCGCTGTGCAGGTCGACGTTGCGTTGATACCACTGCGCACCGGTTGCGCGGCGGATGAACTTATTTTGTACTATTTGCAACTTGTACAAGCGAGTAGGGTGCGTGTGGGCGAAGGTCATGCATGCGTAAGACATAATAGGTCGTACGCAGGTCTTATATAATAATAATTTGTGCCTTAAGGGCATTTTACTTTTAACGTTAGTTAAATTGTGTAGCCGACCGGAGACGAACGCGGCTCTATTGCTAACGTTATTAATGTGCGTAGTAAATGACATACGCGAGTCGAAAGTGACTCCTAAGTATTTGACCTTTTTCTCCCAGGGGAGCGGTTGGCCATAAAGGGATATTTGCCCCAACTTTCTGCATTGACGAAGGCCATTGTAAAGATGTGACGGGTAAGTACTTCGTGTGAAGTGAATCGCCACACTCTTTTCGGGATTTATTTCTATTCTCCATTTGCGGAACCAATCGCCGAGGCGGTCGGCAGCGCTTTGGAGTCGAGTGGTTAGTTGTCTAAGGTTGCGGTCTGAATAAAAGAGCGCCGTGTCATCCGCGAAAAGCGCGAGATTGACGTGGGGGTCTTTAGGTATATCGCTCGTGTAGAGCGTAAAGAGCAAAGGTGAGAGGCAGGAGCCTTGTGGTACGCCGGCCGTGAGGCGGCGGCTTGTGGAGAGGGTGCTTTCAACTCGATATCGAAAAGAGCGGTTCGACAGGAAGGCCTGGATGGTGTGTACGAGCCTATCTGGCACTTTGAGTGTGTACAGCTTGTAAAGCAAGCCGTTGTGCCAGACCTTGTCGAATGCTTTTGCGACATCGAAGAAAAGAGCCCCTGTACTAATATGTTTAGGGTGATTTAGGCCTTTTAGGATATGTTCCGTTAGCCGGAATAGTTGATCGGGACAGGAATGTCTAGCTCGAAAGCCGAATTGTTCCGCCGGCAGAAGGCCGTTGGAAAACACGTGCTCATTGAGCCTGTTTAATAAAAGCCGCTCGTAGAGCTTCCCCAGGCAACTGAGGAGGCTGATGGGACGATAACTAGAGGGCTGGTTGGCTGGTTTATTAGGCTTGCGAATGCCGATAACCCTGCTTCTTTCCAGTCGTCTGGAAAGGAGCAACTGTAGAGTAAAGTATTGTAAATGGTCGCCAGTAAACAGATAAGCGGCCCAGGGAGAGCTTTAAGAATTTTGTTACTAATATTATCTGGGCCCGGGGCGGATTTGGGTTTTAAGTTTTTAATAATATCTTGAACCTCTTCGGGGGTCACTGAATTC